TGTGCTGGTTTTTGATGGTGTTTGTCCAATGGGTGATGTGCTTGTGTTTCTCTGTGTTGATGATCTGTGTAGGCCGATTCTCTCTCTCTCTCTCTCTCTCTCTCTCTGTGTTGTTGTTGATGCAGGTGTTATTGGCTTGTTGTATTGTCCGTGCGCTGGTTACGTGTTTCTAACGAGCTCCGCTCACATAGCGCTCCAGCAGCTTCCGGTTGCCATGGCTGCAGCTTCCTCCTCGTTAATTAAAGGACGAGTTTGTAAGTTCTCTGATCCTGCAGCGGCTGGAACGAGACGAAGATTTACTGCATTTGAGAAAACCAACAAAAGCGGCTTACAGTAATACTTACAACAAACAGCTTTGTGACACTTTAGAATAATGTACATTTATATTCATATAAAGCAGGTTCCAAAAGACCGCACTGAAACCACTGAAACATGTTGATGCAATTTAATTCATTATTTATTCATTTTAATTAAAGCTGGAAAATCACTAAAACCTATTCATTGATTTTTTAAATGTATTTATTTGGTTGGGTATTTATTTAGTTTGTTAGTTGTGTATTTAGTTTATTTTTTATGTCAATTAAAGCTGCAAAACAGTTTTAGAATATACTACACTAAAAATGGCTAACACCTGTGAAGTGAATTGAATTTATTCACTTATTATTTGAATATTTATTTATTTATTTAGTTGGTTGATTATTTTATTTGTTTGTTCAAAATAAAGATGCAAAACAAAGTTTTAGAATTTTAAAAAGTTAGGAATAATGTATGATTTACTAAAATTACAAAAACCTGTGAATTAATTAATTAATTAGTTTGTTTTTGTTTTTAATTTCAATAAAAATAATTGTAGAATTTAGAAAGTTAGAATTAATGTACAACACCACCAAACTCACTCAAACTACTTTTGTTTGTTTATTTATTTATTCCAAAAAAAAAAATTTTTTAATTATAGTGAAATATATTAACATAAGACATTTTTCATATTCATGTTTTTATATTTTTAATAGAAGAAATATTACTTTTTATTATTGTAAAATGCAATATACACTTGTAGTTATGAATAGAAAAGTGCTAAATCGACATATTCTGCTGGTGGTATCAGACTTTGGGACCCTCTGTGAATTCTAATAGTTGCACATGTAAGTAATATGTGAATATTCATAAGAATAATATTCATATTCATAATATGTGTGACAGTATGTGTCTTAACGACTTCCTAATGAAAGACACATACATACACTGAGTGCTAGGAATGAATCTGCAGGAGGTGTTTGTGTTTGTCACATTCACAGCTTGTTTCTGAGAAATAAAGCGTAGTCCTAATGATGATGATGATGATGATGATGATGATTGTGCTTCATACAGCTGTGTGTGTTTGGTGCTGATGTGTGTGTGTGTGTGTGTGTGTGTGTGTGTGTGTCTCTTGTGTGTGTGTGCGTCCTGCAGTGTGTATCAGGTGGTGGTAGAAGAGGAGCGTCCGCGTCGTTCTCGGAGAGCCGCTGAGATCCTGCGCTGTTACCCGATTCCCATCCACTTCCAGAACGCGTCCGTGCTGAACTCGCAGTATTACTTCACCGCAGAGTTCCCAGCCGCTCGCATCCAGACGCCGCTGCCCTTCACCGTCGGAGACAACCGCACCTACGACAGCTACTGGAACCTTCCTCTGCTGCCACACAAGAGCTACAGCGTCTACTATCAGGCCGTCAGCACAGCCAACGGGGTGAGAACCCACTAACACTCGCACAGCTTCAGATTCACTGTGTGATCGACAGACAGCATGCTCCTGATCACGGCGTAAACTTTAGCACTTTAGTGCTGGTAAACAAGAGTAACTATATCATAAACTCATCACACATGTATTATTTCAGCAGCTGTGATTGTCTCTGAAGGAGAAAAGCAGTCGTTATATGTGAGAAACTCAAGCAGGTAATTAGCAGCCAGTGGGCCGAGAATAATTTAAACGCTGCCCTTTACAACGAAACCAGACTCTATTTTTTATTGTTATTTATTGCGACGCACCCTTAAAGTGGAACTTTTTCTCACTCTGATGCACTTAATAGTCTTGCAATTAAAATGACAGCATATTTATATATTTTTATATAATTTATGTATATAAATAAGCAATATACAGTATATGTATGTTTAGACTTATGTATATATAAAGACTTAAGACTCTTGTGATTAAAATAACAGCACAATGTTTTTTATTTATATATTTCATTTCATTATCATTGATTGCTATATATATATATATATATATATACTATGTACTATATAAAATATATTAATATTAAAAAATATAAATATTATACAAAATATTTCTATAAATATGTAAATAAATGCATAAATAAAAAATAGGTTATTTATATATAAAATAAATTATATAAAAGCATAACATCTAAATAAATCTGCTATTTTAATCGTGAGAGTCGTAGGTTGTTTACTCAAGGTGTTTCAGTGAATTATTTTAATATTCTTTTCATTTAATGTTATGATATATATATATATATACATATACATGTTTGTGTGTGTAAGTACGTGTAATAATAATGATATAAAGATAATTCACTGAAAGACTTGAGATTTTAGATTTGAGTAAAGACTTGTGCATCTTCTGTGATGATGAATCATTGCGATCTGCTCCGGGTCAAGTGCGCTGTGTTCTGAGCTTGTTGCTGTAAAATAACGTGTCCAGCGTTCTTCACGTCGCATGCTGCTGATCTTTAATTGCTTCCAATTAGCAGAGCGCCAGCAATTACAGGCAGCAGTTTGTGTTCTCCCCGGTGACACAGAAGAACAGGACTGACCTTCAGAGCTTCACGCGCTCCTCCTCCGCCAATTATTTCCTTTCAGAACTTCCACATTTATTTGGCTTCTTCAGTGTCTCACAACAACCGCGCTGGATGCTTTAGATTATGGCCTGCTGTTTTCAGACGCTTATTAACAGGTTTAGAGTTCGTGTTTTCTGTGCTGGTGTTGAAGGATCGTCTGCAGGAATCTGTGGTTTTTTTCAGCTGCTCACACACATTTTCAAAACTTTGACTCTTTTTTTCAAAACTTTACACACAATCCAAGAATGGCTAGTTTTGTAGTTTTGGTGTGTGCTTCTGAGTGAGAGTCAGCTTTCAGAAACTGTGACGAGGAAAGATTTAGTGTGAAAAAAACTGTAACAGCTGAAGGAAGTGAATACGTTTAACGAACGAACACAAGCGGCTGAATGCGGAGAATCTGCAGAGCTTTTGATTCTTCATTGATGCTTATTAATAAATAATCTCCTCTAAAAACATGTTTATTCGTTTTAAGAAAACACACCCAGTACACCCTCCAGCAAACCTCACAGGTTTAAGAATTAATATTCATAATAAATTAGTGATGATAATAATAATAATCTATATTAATGTATTAATATCTATTATTAATTAATTATTAACTATTATTAAATAATTTATTCATCTTTAATCATTTATTATTATTATTATTATTAAATAATTGTATTTAAAAAATATTTTTTACATTTTATATTTATTTATTTATCTATTTTAATGAACCATGGTACATGACCAAAAACAATAGTGCTTCCATAGTAAAAATGTGAAGGAAAAAAATATTTAATAAATATAAAATTATTATATATTACTTACTGGTCTATCTTTATAAATATTTAAAAATTCCATGGTACTTTGAAAAAACAAAATAATATAATTGGTAATAATAGTGATAATACTAAGTTACTTTTTGGTATGTTTGATGATTATATTACATATATTAGTAGGTTGAAGCTGAATTTGCAGGCAATAAAAGTGAAGTGAGGACAGAGTCGCATTAAACGCTCGACTCGGAGCTTCAGCTGTTCACGGATGCATTATTAACACTCCAGTCTAATTGGAAATTAGAATTATCAGCCATCTCTCTTTTTTATATGCAAATTGACGCGAATGAAAAGGCGATCCTTTATTTCAGTGCAGGAGAGGAAGCACTTGTGTGTGTGTGTGTGAGTGTGTGTGTGAGTGTGTGTGTGAGAGTGTGTGTGAGAGTGTGTGTGAGAGTGTGTGTGAGAGTGTGTGTGAGAGTGTGTGTGAGAGTGTGTGTGAGAGTGTGTGTGAGAGTGTGTGTGAGAGTGTGTGTGAGAGTGTGTGTGAGAGTGTGTGTGAGAGTGTGTGTGAGAGTGTGTGTGAGAGTGTGTGTGAGAGTGTGTGTGAGAGTGTGTGTGAGAGTGTGTGTGAGAGTGTGTGTGAGAGTGTGTGTGAGAGTGTGTGTGAGAGTGTGTGTGAGAGTGTGTGTGAGAGTGTGTGTGAGAGTGTGTGTGAGAGTGTGTGTGAGAGTGTGTGTGAGAGTGTGTGTGAGAGTGTGTGTGAGAGTGTGTGTGAGAGTGTGTGTGAGAGTGTGTGTGAGAGTGTGTGTGAGAGTGTGTGTGAGAGTGTGTGTGAGAGTGTGTGTGAGAGTGTGTGTGAGAGTGTGTGTGAGAGTGTGTGTGAGAGTGTGTGTGAGAGTGTGTGTGAGAGTGTGTGTGAGAGTGTGTGTGAGAGTGTGTGTGAGAGTGTGTGTGAGAGTGTGTGTGAGAGTGTGTGTGAGAGTGTGTGTGAGAGTGTGTGTGAGAGTGTGTGTGAGAGTGTGTGTGAGAGTGTGTGTGAGAGTGTGTGTGAGAGTGTGTGTGAGAGTGTGTGTGAGAGTGTGTGTGAGAGTGTGTGTGAGAGTGTGTGTGAGAGTGTGTGTGAGAGTGTGTGTGAGAGTGTGTGTGAGAGTGTGTGTGAGAGTGTGTGTGAGAGTGTGTGTGAGAGTGTGTGTGAGAGTGTGTGTGAGAGTGTGTGTGAGAGTGTGTGTGAGAGTGTGTGTGAGAGTGTGTGTGAGAGTGTGTGTGAGAGTGTGTGTGAGAGTGTGTGTGAGAGTGTGTGTGAGAGTGTGTGTGAGAGTGTGTGTGAGAGTGTGTGTGAGAGTGTGTGTGAGAGTGTGTGTGAGAGTGTGTGTGAGAGTGTGTGTGAGAGTGTGTGTGAGAGTGTGTGTGAGAGTGTGTGTGAGAGTGTGTGTGAGAGTGTGTGTGAGAGTGTGTGTGAGAGTGTGTGTGAGAGTGTGTGTGAGAGTGTGTGTGAGAGTGTGTGTGAGAGTGTGTGTGAGAGTGTGTGTGAGAGTGTGTGTGAGAGTGTGTGTGAGAGTGTGTGTGAGAGTGTGTGTGAGAGTGTGTGTGAGAGTGTGTGTGAGAGTGTGTGTGAGAGTGTGTGTGAGTGTGTGTGTGAGTGTGTGAGAGAGAGTGTGAGTGTGTGAGAGAGTGTGTGTGTGTGTGTGTGAGTGTGTGTGTGTGTGTGAGGTGTTTGCTCTCTGCAGGCTCGTGGTAAGGTCAGGTCAAGCGTCTCCAGAACGAGGTTTATTAGAGAAAACGAGCTCCTGGAACCCTGCTTGAGATCAAACCTCTCGTGGCCTTTCGGTGTTTCTCAGCAGAAACGTTACAGCACGCTGAGATTTAGAGCGTGTTACGGGTCACAGCGGTCACGGAAAACACGCAAATATCATGGAACAATAAAATGTCAGGAAAATCTTCTTTGCTCTAAAATATCTCATTTTGTAGGGTTTTATTGGAGTCATTTGCACAATAATGAGTATAATAGTAATAATATAATTGCTCATTGTTCATGTTAGTGCATTAACTAATGTTAATTACTAAAATACAACTTTTAATTTAAAAATGAATTGCTAAATGTTATATAATCATTTAAATGTATTTAATTCAAAAGCTTCATATATATAATTTTTTTAAAGATCAGTTTGAAATCTACAACAGTCAACAGTGTTATTTTAATATTTTCAATTAGCTTTTATTTTTGTATTTTTTTGCTTTCATTTTAAAATTAAACAAATTAATTCTGCCTGTGAATATATGAAACTCACATAAATCCAAAAAAGATCAAATAAAATAATAATAATAAAACTTTAATACAAAATTTAATACAAAAAAACTATATTATATTTATATTATAATTTTTTTATTATATAATAAGTATATTTATAATTATATGTATATACACCGGTAAACGTTTATATACAAACATACACAGCTACTTATTAAAGATTATGAATTTATGGGTTATTTTAGTTTTTATTAATATTTAATTTTTCCTTTATTATATATATATTTTAGATGATTCTGCTATATTTTCCCTATTTTTAATTTTAATTTTAGTTAAAGTTTTAGTAATTTTGTTGTGTGTTTTTGTCATTTTTATTACCACAGTTAAACGTCTAAATAGTTTTTTTTAATTTTCATTTAATTTGTTTTAGTTATTTTAGTACATCAAATTAACTAAATAAAAATTTAAGATTCAAGAACTGAGATCAAGAAGTGAGAAATATTGCCTAGGAAGCTAGCTGAAAAAAAATAAGTTTAAGTTATATAAGTTTAATTATATATATATTAGGGATGTAACGATTACCGGTTTCACGATAAATCACGATAAAATGCACTGACGGTTATTATTACCGT